ATTGATCCTGTATCCTGCAACTTTATTGAATTCATTTATTAGTTCTAATAGTCTTTTGGTGGAGTCATTAGGGCTTTTTATATATAGTATCATGTCATCTGCAAATAATGACAGTTTTACTTATTCCTTTTCAATTTTGATGTCCTTTATTTCTTTTTCTCATCTGATTGCTGTGGCTAGGATTTCCATTACTATATTGAATATAGTAATGAGAGTGGGCATCCTTGTCTTCTTCCTGATCTTAGAGGAAAAACTTTCAGCTTTTCACAATTGAGTGTTATGTTAGCTCTGGGTTTGTCATATGTAGCCTTTATCATTTCTGGTTAAAGTTCCCTTTATATCTACTTTTATGGAATTTTAAAAATCAAAATGGATGTTGAATTTCATCAAATGCTTTTTCTGCAGCTATTGAGATGTTCATATGGTTTTTATCCTTTATTTTGTTAATGTGATGCATCACATTGATTGATTTATGGATATTGAACCATTCTTGCATCTCTGGCATGAAACCCATTTAGTTATGGTATGTAATCCTTTCAATACATTGTTGAATCCAGTTTGCTAATATTGTTGAGAATTTTTGCATCTATGTTCCTTAAGGATATTGGCTTGTAATTTTCTTTTTTTGTAATGTCATTACCTGGTTTTGGTATCTGGGAAATGCTGGATTCATAGAATGAGTTTAGAAGCATTTCTTCCTATTTAATTTTTTGAAATAGTTTAAGAAGGATAGATATTATTTCTTCTTTGAATGTTGTGTAGAATTCACCTGTGAAGCTGTCTGGCCTGGACTTTTATTTGTTGGGAGTTTTTTGATTACCACTTCAATTTTATTCCGAGTAACAGATATGTTTAGATTTGTATTTCTGTTGGGTTTGGTTTTGGAAGGTTACATACTTATAGAAATTTATCATAAAATTTCTTCTAGGTTGCTGAATTTGTTGACATGTAATTGTTCATAGTATTTTTTTAATGATTTGTATTCTTGTGGTGTCGTTTGTAACTTCTTTTTCATTTATGATTTTATTTATTTGGGCTCTTTTACTTTTCCTTGATGAGTTCGGCTAACAGTTTTTCTATTTTATCTTTTCAAAGAACCACTTCTTAGTTTTATTGATCTTTTCTATTGTTTTATTTCTACTTTTATTTCCAGTTGGATCTTAACTATTTTATCCCTTTTGTTTTCTTTGGTTTTTGTTTGTTCTTTTCCTAGTTCCTTTAGGTGTACAGGTAGATTGTTTATTTGGGATTTTTTTTTTGCTTCTTCAGGTAGGTCTGTATAGCTATGAACTTCCCTCCTCAGACTGCTTTTGCTGCATCCTATACATTTCAAAAATTTGTATTTTCATTTGTTTCAAGATAGTTTTTTGTTTCCTCTTTGATCCATTGGTTGTTTGGTGGCATGTTGTTTAATCTCTACATATTTGTGTTTTTTCCTGTTTTCTTCTTATAGGTGATTCCTAGTTTTCATGCCATTGTGGTCAGAAAAGATGCTTGATATGATTTCAATCATCTTGAATTTATTGAGGCTTGTTTTGTGGCCTCATATGTGCTCTCTCCTGGAGAATGTTCTATGTGTACTTGAAAAAAATATGTATTTTGCAGTTTTGGATGAAATAGTCTAGAATATCTATTAGGTGAATCTGATCTAACATGACATTTAAGGCCATTATTTCCTTATTAATTTTCTGTCTAGATGATCAATCTATCCATTGATGTGAATGTCACATGAAAATCCCCTACTTTTATTGTATTACTGTGGATTTCTCCTTTTATATTCAGTAATAATTGCTTTGTATATTTCAGTGCTTCTATGTTGGGTGCATAGATATTTATGATTGTTATATCCTCTTCTTGGATTGACACCTTTTAATTATGTAATATCCTTCTTTGTCTTTTCAAAAAATTTATTTTGAAATATTTTGTCTGATAGGATCTTGCTCCACCAGCTTTTATTTCGTTTCTGTTTGCACGGAATATCTTTTTCTATCCCTTCACTTTCATTCTGCTTGTGTCTTTTGATCTTAAGTGAATCTCTTGTACACAGCATATAGATGGGTCTTGTTTTCTTATTCATTATGCCATCTTGTGTCTTTTTATTGGAGTGGTTAATTCATTTATATTTAAAAAAATTATTGATAAGAATGTACTTATTGCCATTTTGTTAATTGTTTTTGGTTGTTTTTATAATTCTCCCGTTCCTTTCTTTTTCTCTTGATCCCTTCCTTTGTGGTTTGCTGGCTTTGTTTAGTGTTTTGTTTGTTTTTTCTCTCTTTATTCTTTGTATATTTTTTGTGGTTTTTTGGTTTGTGGCTACCATGAGGTTTATGTATATCATTCTATATCTATAACAGTCTTTTTTAAGCTGATAGGCATTTAAGTTCAAATATAGTCTATAAGGATTACATTTTAACTCCCTTCTCCTTGTTTTATGTTATTAATGTCATGTATTAGATCTTTTTTGTATGGTATATCTCCTAACTACTTATTGTCATTTGAGTTGAGTTGGATACTTTTTTCTTTTGACCTTCATAGAAGCTTTTTAAATACCTGATTCACGGCTGAGGCTCTCTAGCTTTGGTTAGAGCACAGGTCTCATAAATACTTGATTCACTGTATTCATTAACTATTTGGCTTTACTGTGAGATTTTTTCCCCCCTTTCCCATATTTTCTTATTTTTGGTTATGGTCTTTCCTTTTCTGCTTAAAGAAGACCCTTTAACATTTCTTGTAAATGGGTGAAGACCCATCACCCATTTCATGGTGATGAACTCCTTTAGTTTTTGCTTGTCCAGGAAATTATTTTTCTCTCCTTCAATTCTGAATGATAATTATGCCAGATATAGTATTCTAGGTTGTAGGTTCCTTTCAGCACTTTCAAGATGTCCTGCCACTTCCTTCTGGCCTGCAAAATTGCTGATGATAAATCAGCTCACAGCCTTACGAGGTTTCTTTTGTGTGTAACTCATTCCTTTCCTCTTGCTTCTTTCAAGATGATCTCTTTATCTATCTTTTGCCATCTTTATTACAGTATGCCTTGATGTGGATCTTTTTGCGTTCATCTTGTTTGTGCTTCCTGGATATATGTTTCCCAGGTTGGGAAAGTTTCCAGCTATAATTTCTTTAAATAAAGTTTCCTTTTTCCCCCTTCTGGTATCCCTATAATGCAAATATTTAAGCCCCAAATGAGAGCCTCACACACTAACTATCCCTGCCCTCCCTTCCTTGGAAGGTCCTGAACTCCAGTTTTTGGCTTAACAATACTATAAAACTGTAGAAAATTCCAAATCTCTGCTTAGCTTTAGTCTCTTGCCCTGAGAAGCATAAGAATTCAGCAAATTCTGTGAGATAAAAACCACTAAGTTTTGGGACCACCTCTCTGTATTTCCCTTCTCTCCCCCAAATTAGACTATCAAGTTGGCCTCAAGTGACATATGATGCCTTTAGACATAATTTTTTTCCACTTCAGATTTTCCAGTTGTTTTCCCCAGGAATATTGGTCTGTCACAGGCTACTCTGTCAGGTCCAGAAGTGAAAGTTAGTCCTTAAAGATTTTGAAATTTGGCAATACTGGTGTTTAACTTTGACCATTCTTTGTTTTGAGCAAGGATATATTATTCTGAGCTCACCCAGATTTTTAGCCTTAAAATGCACCTGTTTAACTCTCTTTTTCAGATAAGTTTCAAAAAGTTTATTTATTTGTTTTTTTATTATAGCTCTTTATAGATTTCCTGGATTGAGTAGGGAAAAAAGTAATGAAGAAGGCTTGTTCTTTATAGCACTTCCCAGTAATCTGCTTTGTGTGTTTAGTAGCTTGTCCTTATTATTGCATGTCTGAGTACAGAGTCTTAAATAAACTTAACATAAAAGGCAGATATTCATAAATATGTATGCAAAACTGATATGCAGTTTCGAACTCTACTTGTTAATATCAAGGTACCTATGAATGAAAGCAAGTGAGATAGTGTTATGTGGTGAAGTTTGTGTTTGGAGAGAGGAATTATTTTGTCAGGTAATTCATGGGACCATGGGCTCCTATCCCAGTAGCAGATTTCCATTCTAGTGACTAGTAGTCCCCATTCCCCTTGATTCAGGGCCTTGCCTTTGGAGACATAGTGGGTATATCCTGGCAGATTTGCACGTTCTTGATTTTCTGTGCTCACATATATACATCCTTATTTTACATTATCTTTTTTTTTAAAAATATATTTTTATTGATTTCAGACAGAGGAAAGGAGTGGGGAGAGAGAGTTAGAAACATCAATGATGAGAGAGTCATTGATCGAGCCCACAACCAGGGCATGTGCCCTGACCGGGAATCTAACCCTGATCGCCTGGATCCTAGGTTGATGCTCAACCGCTGAGCCACGCCCGGCCGGGGCTACATTATCTTAATATGGATGTTACATTATACATATAAGTTTGAAGACATTGCTTCCTCACCAGGAAGGAGGTCCTTCACACAGCCTTAATCATACCCTAACTTTTTATTATCCATCTGAATGCTAAAATGAGTGTATAAAACAGTAAAAATATTGGTTTTAGTAGTTACTCTGGAGCTGATTTTTTTTTCTGCCACGTGTTGCCTCTAGTTTTAATGGTTTCTTAAGGTCACATCTGGATTATTTTAAAGACCGTATCACTAAGATAAATGAGGTACATTTATTCTTATCTGTGGGCATAGCGTGGTCTGTATAGATTTTTCTGTGGCTCAGAAAGTCAGGTAACATCTCTGTAATCATAAATATTATACTCGGGTTCACATCCCAGTCCTGTGACTTCTGAACTCATGCTCCCAAGATCTCCTGCTTAATGTATTGTATGTACATTAGAGCAACCCTTTCCTGATTTGTCCTCTGTTCACCTCTCTTCGTTTTTCCTTTCAGGAAATCTTCAAAACTGAAACCTTTTTATTAGCATTATAAACAGGTTCATCATCTTATCCTAACTAGATGTTTCACTAGGATAAAACAGACATTTTTATTTCTGATGTCTTTCAGACTGGATGACTATCCCTGTGAATAAGAAATCTACCCTGAAAGCAAATATTCCTGAAGAAGAATTGGATCAGTGGATGATAAAGGGAAGATTCACTGGCAATAGTTTCTGGAAATATGATAGCCTATTGGAATGGCAGCATGGAGACCAGGAGATAAAGTTGCAGAAAATGGTACTCAATCACCAGAAAACCTCATCTGTAGGTAGTGACCAAGAATGTAATAGATCTGAGAAGCAGTGCATCATGAGCTCATCTTTTGTTCAAAGTCAGGGATTTCAATCTAGCAAAAAAGCCTTTGAGTGTAGTGAGTGTGGAAAAGTCTTCACTAAGAGTTCAACCCTTAATAAACATCAGAAAATTCATACTGAAAAACTTAATTCAAATCGGAAAACTCTTATTAAAGAGAAACGGTATAAATGTAGAGAATGTGGGAAAGCCTTTCACCAGAGTACACACCTTATCCATCACCAAAGAATTCACACTGGTGAAAAACCGTATGAATGTAAGGAATGTGGCAAGGCCTTCTCGGTGAGCTCCTCACTGACATATCATCAGAAAATTCACACTGGAGAGAAACCTTTTGAATGCAACTTATGTGGAAAAGCTTTTATCCGAAATATACACCTTGCCCACCATCATAGAATACATACTGGAGAAAAACCTTTTGAATGTAACATATGTGACAAAGCCTTTGTGTGCAGGGCACATCTTACCAAACACCAGAATATTCATAGTGGAGAGAAACCCTATAAATGTAATGAGTGTGGGAAAGCCTTCAATCAGAGTACAAGTTTTCTTCAGCATCAGAGAATTCACACTGGAGAAAAGCCCTTTGAATGTAATGAATGTGGAAAGGCCTTCAGGGTGAACTCTTCCCTTACTGAACATCAGAGAATTCATACTGGAGAGAAACCTTATAAGTGTAATGAATGTGGGAAAGCTTTCAGAGATAATTCATCTTTTGCTCGACATCGGAAAATTCATACTGGAGAAAAACCTTACAGATGTGGTTTATGTGAAAAAGCCTTTAGGGACCAATCAGCCCTGGCTCAACATCAGAGAATTCATACTGGGGAAAAACCATACACATGTAATATATGTGAAAAAGCCTTCAGTGACCATTCGGCCCTTACTCAACATAAGAGAATTCATACTAGGGAAAAACCTTACAAATGTAAAATCTGTGGAAAAGCCTTTATCCGAAGCACCCACCTTACTCAACATCAGAGGATTCACACAGGAGAGAAACCCTACAAATGTAATAAATGTGGGAAAGCATTCAACCAGACTGCAAACCTCATTCAGCATCAGAAACATCATATTGGAGAAAAGTGATATGATTGCAATGTATAAGGAGGCGCTTTGAGACTGAATATGTGAATAATTGAATTTAAGAGAATCCATTCTAAGAATAACCATGAAATCTTATATTAAGATAGTCATTTTATTTATGGAAAGTCTAGCTTTACAGTACTGTGGGTTTTGATAATTTTAGAATATCAAACACTCCTCATGGTTCAGAACTGCCTCAACTGAATAGCAGTACTGTGTAATTAGTCTGAATTACCAAGTATAAGAACCAAAATGGAGCTTCATTAACAACACAGAAATTTGTTTATCAAATTAACATTTTGATTATTAAGAGAAATGATCAAATTGTAAAAATTAAGGTTAAGAAGCTAAGGAACAATAAGGTAAGAAAATGGTCTACAAGCATTTCACTCTACTTGATTCTCTTATATAAGGGGTGTCCACCTTCAGTGGAACCCTTTGTTCTCATCCACACTGCAGACACCCAGAGTAAAGAAAGTGTATTTACTACTCATGCATCAGCCCAGGACTTACTTAAACTGTGCTCCCCACTTTCTGCTTCAAACCATCTTTTGTCAGATCTCTCTGGTCTCTGTGTCCCTAACTGTCTGTCTGTCTTCTCCTTCCTGGACAATTCATTTGAATGGTGTGTCCCTCTTTTGGTTTAGCAACCCCTAATTGGTAGCATCATGTCACTTATTACCAGCCCATTTGTTCTTGGTGAGTGTAGTGATCTGACCTCACACACAGTCCATGATTCTGGATGTTGCACCCAAACTCAGCTTTCAGAACTTGGAAGTTCTGCCTGGGAGGCAGAGGTTAATCAAAATTCTTGAGTCACCCAGTTCCTCTGGGCCTCAGTTTGACTCTGACCCTGGGGTGATACCTAAAGTAGGAGCTTAATCTGTATAAATATTATCTTCCAATTGTTTGTACTGCAGGTACTCTACACAAAGCAGGCAGGGGCATGTTCAACTTCAGGTGTGACAGTCCCAAACACCTGGTGGTGTTTTAGGTCACCTCCACTTCTGTGACTTGCTATTTCCTGATGTGCAACTGACATGAGAAGTTGGAGCCACATGGCCAGTTCTCAAAAGGGTCTGACCTACTCTCTTCAGCTGGGCAGTCCTCAGTGGCTCCTGCATTAGAGTTTATTGAACTGCATCCTGGTCCTTGTCCTGCCTTTGTCCAGTTTTCTGAAGGTATTGCTTCTGTGTTCACAGGAAAAGCAGAGAGCTTTGTATTTGTGCTTTGCCTTTGAAAGTGATCACTCCCTCTCCTCCATCTGGTTATTCCACTATTTAAACACTGTCCAATTCTGACAGTGGTGAGCAACATGTTGAGTAATTCTATGAGTCAAGAAGTGGTCAATAGCAACATGACATTCTCTGGAGCAGTGTCTGTGCCCAAAAGTTTGAGTGACATTCTACTGCTGCAGGTACAGGTCAGTCATCATCTTTAATCCTTCAGTGCTGTCAGTAGAAATCATAGAGATAAAATAACATCTGTGTGTCTTCACACACACAGCTTCTGGTGGCACTGTCCCTCACCACAAATAATGGGGAGCCTACACCACTGTAGCCCAGAGCGCTCCATGTCGTAAAGGTGAAAGAGCAAGGAAACTATTGTTCTAGGAAGAAGGTGGCAGGTCCCTGGTCTGTAGAAGTGTTCCCCACCAAATTGGGCAGCCTGCTGACCCCTATGAATGCTGTTGCTAAGCTCTAAGTTATAGAGAGGGTATTCTGTGTCATGGTGGAGTCAATGGATTCCAGGTTAAACAGAGTTGAAGTTTCCTGCAGCTTTAAAGCCCAAGTTCTCTAAATTCAGCTTCTATTTAATAAAGGCCACTTGTAGGCATCTCCTGTTAGGTAAACAGTGACTCACCTTTCTTCCTATTAAGCTTCAGGTGAAGCAGCATTTCAAAAGGTTACTTGGGACTGACTGTGCCCAGGGCATGTTTTTCTACAGCCTCACATTTCTGGCAACCCCAGATTCCACAATAAATTAGAGAAACCATGCTCACCGCTGCAGATATCTGCCTTCAGTACTATCCATATGGCCTTCCTGGCCCTAACTCTCTCACCCCCTTAATCTTGAATCATTGAGAAGCATTTTTCTAAACTAATTTTTTTTGTTTGTTTATAATAAGAGCTACCATCACTCAGTATGTGCCTGCAGTTGAGATGGTCCAAGACCTGCTGCCACTTTAAGAGCCTCATTCATCCCAGTGACAGCCCCAGCACCTCTTAGTCCACCAGAACCAGTGCAGTCGGAAGGCTCTCCACTTGATGTTGCAGTCTACTTTCCCTGAACCCATCTCCTATCTTGATGAAATTAGACCTCTGAAAAATGCCTATTAACTCTTTCCTGTCTGGGGAGGCAACAAATAAATAAATGATCCATTAGCTATACCTGGGCTAACTGGATGTATTTATGGTAATCCTGTTTGACCGGGCCTTTAGCTGTGGCTTTATTATACTCTGCCATATGATTGACACCTGATTGTGTGACCTCAACTAAGGGGGTCAACATTTGCCCGTACTACTTTTCTAATCCAAAGTAGTATGGCTCTCTGCCTGGGCAGTCTGACCTACCTTTGGCATGCACCTTTGCTGCATTTTTGAGAACTCTGAGGTAGAGTTCCTCAGTTACCTTCTCTGCCAACTGATTTGCAAAATGTTAGACAAGATTTCAGCAATTATTGAGAGGGACTTTTCTTTACCCCATCCTCAGCCAGGTCACTCCCTAGACATTAGAGATTCCTATGAACAGTTCATTCTGTACCTCACTTTTCTAGCCTTGCTGATTGGCCACATAGACACTGACTGACAGAGGTGAGGACCACTGGGAGCCACCCTTCAGGGTACAGAGTATGAGCTGGTGATGTGCCGCTCTCAACACATCCAGCCCATCCCCTACTGCTACTGGCCGCACATAGTTCAGAAGACTTCCCAACACACCCATGACTATGCCATTTCCAGATGATGAATATGTGCATGTGGCAGAGGAAGTGCTGGACTTATATGTGAGCCAATCTCCACACCCCCTCACCTGGACTGTAGCTAAGCTATGAGCCAGAGAAATGGACCTCAGCCCACCTCTTACAGTACTTTCCTTGTGTACTTTGGAGTTGCCCAGTGGGCAAACCAATTGGACGTGCAAATTGCACTCTGCCTGGGGAAGGGTTTGAATGGAGAAGTAGCAACTAGACTTTGTTACATTCTTCAGTGTCTATGGACCATGAACAGCCACTGAAACTGCCTTCTCTCAAGGAAAAAAATAAATGCTACAAGTTTCCCCTTCTAAATTCCTTTAATCCTTCTCTGTTGTTAAGTCTTAACTCATCTTCAGCTGATTGATTTTGCATCTAGGCTCTCCCTGTCCGTCTGAATTTGCTTAGCTTTTTGACAGCAGCATCTCCCTAAGATGTTGCCTTCCTCCATATCCAGCAACTGTTTTTTTTTTGGTTTGTTTTTGTTTTTAAAACAACACATCCCCACCGATCCTGGAGAGAGGAAGGGAGAGGGAGAGAGAGAGATAGAAACATAAAGGTGAGAGAGTCATCATTGATCTGATCAACTGCCTCCTGCATGCTCCCAACTGGGGATCTAGTCCACAACCTGGCCATGTGCCCTGACCGGGAATCAAACCATGACCTCCTGGGTCCTAGGTCGATAACCACTGAGCCATGCCCGGCTGGGCAGCACTGCTTTTAAAATAGCACCTGGACCTTGCAGCCGGCTTGGTCTCACTGGTTACCGTGCCCAAGCCCCAGAGTCTTGGAGTAAAAATATCCCTAAACTGCATGCATGCTTTAGGTTAAGAAGACAATTCCCTTAAACATGAGTTTAATCTAAGAATGAGTAGCCTCCAGCTGCCTAATTCCTCTCCTTTCCTTCCTTTTTCCCTTTGCACTTTGTGCGGCCCTCCCTTACACCATTGGATTAGCCAGCAGGACAGCGTGGAAACAAAACTCCCACCTGCAGTGGGAGGGCTCCCAGCTTCTTGGCCAACCTCAACTCCTGCTAAATATATTTTTAGTAATATTTTTACTTTTAATCCTTTTATACCAGTTTGTGAAGGAAAAAGAAATACAAAGCTTGATCTTTCCCATCACTTAAGGACTTCTCAGTTATGCGAATGGTCATTCTCTGCCAGGATTTGGTCATGCAGACATATCCTCTGTTCTGTGTGTTACCCTGTACACCACACATCACTATCCTTAAAACCTGTTGCGATAAAAAGTACTTGTCAGTGTGTCTTTCTGAAAATAAATGAGAAAAGTACCCAGTGTTCTAAGATGTACAATTTGCATTTGTGCTGCCTGCTTATCTATTCAGATATAACTAAGACATGCCAGATTTGTGCTTCCAAGTGTTTTTATATTGTTATGGCCAATCTGGACCTAGCTCCACACATGGCCATCCAAACCTACCTGGCCCCAGAAACCATAGTGTTCCAGTTACATCCCCATTGCTGGGGAGAACAGTCAACATTTGAGGGCATACCTTGTGCCAGGTACTGTTGTAAGCACCCTTTGTATATCGACTCAATCCTCACAATTTATATGAGGCTGTTTCTACCATCCCCTCTTGAAGGTTCAAGAAAGGTGTTGTTGACCCAGAAAATAAATGTTCCTATTGAGAAGGGCTCCTAGTGGCTAACTGGGCTCAAATTTATAAACAGCCTGGCAGCTGTTGCTAAAAGGGGCCTCTCACGCAAGCCACACTTAAGGGAGAAGCCCTTAAACTTAAACCGCTTCTAAACTAAACTGCTTGCCCAGGGAACTAAGCTACCTGTTTGCACTGTGTTCTGTCATCTGAGCCAACCCTTAGAAAGGAGTTGTTGGAATCCTATTTCAACCATTAGGACTGAGATTTTCCCTGTCCAATCAAAGCTGTCTATCTATATTCTCATCAGCATCTTCACCAACCAATTAGAGAAGCTCTGTTTTGGCCAATCAGGACAGTGCTTTTTGGACCAATTAAGTTGTGAAGATTTGGAGCTCTCATTTGCATGAGAGCAGACCAGGGGAGCTGACTTCTCTCTATCTGTCAGCTCTTCTCTGTCTTGTGTGTGCACTTTCCCTTTCCACAGAAGACTGAAGACTGCATTTCCATATCTGGAGCTGAAACACTAAACACATATCGCGAGACTGGAGCAGAGCTGACCTAACTGGAGAAGGGCCTCACCCAAGGGCCACCTGCACCGAGCGCTGCCTCACAGCCATGCTCTTCAGCAGCTGTGCCGATTCATAATTGAACTGTAACACTACTAAGCTGTCCCACAGCTGCACTGTATCACAATTGAGCTGTTTGCACTTAATAAAGACTCCATCACCCACTCCAAATTGGGGATTTCTGTTGGCATTCAGTTGATGCCAATGACCATCCATTGGCAGTATAGAAACTTGTCAGAAGTTGCATAGCTAGTAAGTGGTGAGTGAAGGACTTGACTCAGACAGTATAGCGGCAGGGCACACAAGCTTACCTACTGCATTTGGTCACCACCTTCCTGACAAATTGCTTTGTAGACCACTCTAGAGAGCTGTTTGGTTGGAGACATTGGGGGTGAGGCCTGATGTGACTGTCGGTGGGTTGGACGCTGTATGGGAAGTCCCCAGTCTTATAAGCATGTTCTGGGCATGGTTTTCCACATGCATTTCTTCCATAAGAGGATGTGGAAAGAGTTCAGGGTGCTCTTTTAACCTGAGAGTGCTAGAACCATGGGTTCACAGACAAATATCTGGGCCCTGGAACATCTTGTGGGCACAGCCTGTGATAACCGTGGCTGGTCCTTGACTCAGGCCAAATGAGAGAGTTATTACTAAGAACGCCACTCCTGGAGGTGTTGCAAGGGAGGAAAGCTGAGGTTTATGGCCAGAGAAAAGGAAGGGCAGTAGTCACTCATTTAAGAATTTCTGCCAAGGGTATACAGTGGTTATATGTGCATATAGTTACTGCTTTCATGAACCTTAAGGGGAAGACCGCTATTATAAAAGGAAACAAATAATTAAATAGGCTATTGAACACCAAAATGCAGATTCTGAGTGAGCAACTGGCTGCAAATTCAAACCATGATTGATAGGGGAAAGAGTAACAGGAGATAGTTTGCTGGAGAGCACGTATCCCTACTTGGCTCAACTTTGATCATTTGTTTCTCCATCTTCACTGATGTATCCAGGAAGTGGGATGTAGTTACTCTGGCTCAATTGCCACTGGGAAATTAGTGTTTCCTGGAATGGAATGGGTGTAATCACCCAGAGGTGTAGTTCTGTTGGGATCTCAGTGTGCAGTGGCACTAATACTGGAGGCAAAACTGGTGTCTCAAGTCTCTGGTTGTCGTAAGAATGTACATACTTCATCCCCTCTTTAAAAATTTATCTTTATTGTTGAAAGTACTACAGATGTACCCCCCC